ACTCAGCTGAYGTAGCAATACTCTTTCCTTTSTCTGCAGAGGTGTAGCGTGGAGYCATATTGAGAGAAAGATGTGTTTGTGTTGAGAGTTTGTGTATGCTGCTTGGTAGAAGGGATAGTGTCAGTAGCTATGTTCGTGCTAGGTGACTGATGTAGACGATTCTTCACCAACAGGTGAGAAGGATACTTCGGGCTTTCACTGAGTAGCCTGATGAGAAGGGTTCTCCTCTGTTTAAACAGAGGGAAAGAAGCTAGTTGGTGATACCAAGTGTTTCCCACGAGTTGAGGTTACTGAAGGAGAGAGGGCTTGGATGTTCTGAGCCATTCCGGTGGTCTTGCTCAAGTGCCCGGCCATGGAGGCTCCGGCAGGTAGCGTCTAAGTCACTAGATCTAGTGATTTTTGCTAAACGTGGCTAAGAAGTTGGTAGGTGGGAGAATGGTGTTTGAAAAAGTTCCTAAAAAAGGAAAGTATCCATTGGATATTTGTGTGCAGAGTTGATTTAACCCAAAGATACAAAGGTTATTGACCTATCTCGATCTTAGTGCCTGAGAGAGAAAATATCATACATTTTGAAACAATTTTTTTTTGTTTTAAAACATCATACATATTAAAATGGAGGGAGTGTTATATATCTTCGATCCGTGTTTGCCATATGTTTTTCGAACAACTAAACCTTTTTCCGAAAACACTATATATATCGTTAATTGTTAATGTCATCAATCTCAATAAATGTAAAAAAAAAACATAAAATTTGGCACATCAATCATTTTTTTAGATATTACTAAAATATATCAAATGATTTTGGATTTTTTTTTTTGTTGACCAACATATTCATTATTTAGAAAACATTACACTGTCTTTTACACTTAGAGTTATACAGCATGAAACCAAGTGATTACATAGTTCGACTTCAACAACCTAGCTTTTTTTGCTAAAGCATCAACCTCATAGACAACCTCTCTAGGAACCCAATCGAAACTGAAACCATACTCTGCACTTGCCATTCTCTTAATGTCCTCATATAATATAAATATTTCTTGATTTCCACCTTTTTCCTCTCCTTTTAAGCATTTCAACAAGGTATCATATAACACCTTTGAATTTCCAAAGAAAGCCACATTCATGTACCCATGCCTCATGACCTGCTGGACCGTATCTCTTAACGCAGAAGCCTCTACTACTAAAGGACTTATCAACGGCTCGCATGAAGCTGAACCCTTCATAATTCTTCTCCCTTCTTTGTCCACCAAAATCCAGCCTATACCAGCATTTTTCTTATGTGAGCTCCAGAAACTATCTACAAAACAGCACCATTTATTAGTCCCTGTAATGACCTCTGCCATTGTATTTGGCTTATAAGTCCTTTGAATAACTTGCTGTTCCATATGATTTTCATTCTTTTTTTGAGCCTCTATCTACTGATTATAATCCATTATAGCCTTCTAAATTATGGTTGGAATTAATTCCCTCTTCCCATTAAACACAAGATTATTCCGCATTTTCCAAATTCTCCAACCAATAAATGGGTACAAAGGACACCTTTGCAAATAGTCATCTCCCCTATCCTTGTGTAATTCCATTAAATTTTCAAAACATTGGTATTTAAATGATTAACAAGGATTTGATTACCCGGAATATGGTTGACTGGTGAATGTTCCCAAACTTCTTTAGCAACCCTACATTGGAAGAGCATATGATTTATTGTTTCATCACACTCTCCACAAACTTGACAGGTGCTTTCCAGTCTCAAACCTCTTCTTTTAAGACTCTCTGCAATAGGAACAACTTTATGTAGAATCCTCCACCAGAAATGTTTTATCTTTGGTGGAACTCGAAGAGTCCAAAGAAATTTGAAAACCTTTATTTCCTCCTGAGTAACTAAAGTATACTTTAGAAAATGAATAAAATGATAACATGATTTGACGCTGTATTCTCCATCTTTTGTGTGGCTCCAAACTATTTGATCCCGCCCTCCACTGATGCTTGGTCTTATAATCTAGATCTTAGGAATATCCTCTGGAACTACAAGTTGATTCAGCTTGGTAGTATCCCATAATGCCGTGCCTGGGATCATTAATTCAGAAACCCTTCGGTCAGATGAAATCTCCTCATTTATACATCTTGGAGGTGCTGGTTGCAGACCATTCAACCAATTATATTTTCATACTTTAACTTGTTCACCATTTGCTATGATCGACTTAGTTCCTTGGGCTAGAATTTGAGTACTTTGATAAAAGCTTTTCCATGCATAACTTGAAAAACATTTGGCCTGCTAAAATATTTGCTTCAAACAAACTTGTCCTGCTAA